GAAGGGATTATGGTATGTCCATCCCCCCCTGGGAGTGGGCGATGTTGCATTTTCCTTCTCACTGTCTCTATTGTTCTCTTTCCAGCAAGCACAAACATCCTAAGACACACACCTCTACAAAAACAAACAGAAAGATTGCATTCCAACTTCAAATGTATCTATATTAGATTTAGAACTTGATCAAAACTTGTCCCATTCCAATCTTACATTTGACTCCTGCCTTTTTTCAGAACAAATTTTTTCTGGGATGGGGAACAATTTCACCATCTTACTTTACGAATTTTGTAAATATGATTAGACGTATAAACATGCCATATTTCATTCTAAAAATGTCTCCAGCCTAAATGTTTAAAACCAGCAATGCAAGTTATATTCTACGTTGTTTAATTAAAGTTCAGAATTCTGATGTAACACTAACCATCCTATATTGAACACTAAAAAATAACTATATTTAACATGAAGAATAACTACTATTTTGACTTCATTGGTTACCTATGTATCTCCCAAATTTATTCCAATTAAATAGACTTTATAGTAAATTATTTTTTCATGTAAATTCATACTCAGCAATTGGGAAAAAAGGGATGCACAAAAGGATACAATAAAATATTTTCCAAAATATTAATTAATGCTTATCAGTGACCCCTAAGATAAGTTTTAAGGCTTAATGTCCTCTAGAATGTTTGTAAAAAGAAAGCTCACTTTAAGCACTAAGATGTTTTGGTCTTTGATATTTCTGTCAAGCTTAAAAAGTGCTCTGACTCTCAGTATCACTTTTCTGGTTTTTTTTTTTTTTTTTTTGGGGGTTTTTTTTTTTTTTTTTTTTTTTTTAGTTTTTTGCTACAGGTCGTGTGTGCTTGCCAGAAAGACAGAGAGAGACAGAGAGGCAGAAATCAAGAAATCACCCCCCCAGGGGGGATGGACACGCTGCGGTCCCTTCTCCTCCATTTTCCTTGGGATCTTGGGCACGCACACACATGCACCTAGTGTGAGTTTAAGCCACCAGGTCCAGGACTTGAACCGTGGTCGACTACATGGGAGTTCAGCAACATAGCCATTACACTACCTGCTGGTCCCTCACTTTTCTGGTTTGAAGCATGGAAATAGTAGCTCCACACACCTATTACTGGGCCTTTTTTATTTTTTATCTCTTTTTAATATTCAGTTGAGAACAGGCATGTTAGGAAGCTCTTCCTATCCTGAATTTTCTGTTTCTCTACTAGTTTTGTTAGTACAGACTTCAATCAGTTCTTCTCCCCAAGTCAGCCACTGCTATTCAAGTCACCTTAGCGCTTACATGGCAGGATGCCAACAGGATGCCACCAGCAATCCATAATTTTCTATTTTTAATTTTTTTGTTTGTTTTTTAATTTTGGCATAGGGTACATGCACTTGCCAGAGAGGAACACAGAGAGAGAAAGAGAGGGAGGGGGCAGTGAGAAATCACCCCGTTGGGGGGATGGCCATGCCACAGTCCCTTTTCCTCCATTCTCCTCAGGATTTGGTATGTACACACACAAGCACCTGGTGTGTTTTTCAAGCAGCAGAGCTGGGTCCCGAACCACACATTCAACCCTGTTGGATCCAGTACCTTCACCACCATGCCATCGCCAGCCCCGCGATCCATAATTTTCAACACCTGATACAAAGTGTCATTCTGCTTTCACTTCCTGAATTTATCTAATATCTTCTATGTGATTTTTTCATTCCTCCTAAGCTTTAAACAGATCTTTCAGAGAGCCTTTGGACATGATTAGCATTGTAGTCTCTCTTCACAGTTCTTGTTCCTATTATCTATGGCAGGGCTTGTGTGCATGGGGAGGGTGGATGCGGAGAGGTGTGTATCTGGAGAAAATGATAAAATTAGATACAGAGGCATCTAAGATTTTGTCAGTGTGTCATCTTTTGAATTGTAAAATTTTAGAAAGGTATGAGCTGTTATAAAAAGGCGTGTTCTGCTACCTGATCAGGTCTCCCTAACCTAGCCATTGTAAAAGTTATTCGAGCCTACATAATTGTATGTTACTACACGATACAAATTCAACTCCATTCTAATGTAAATCTAGTACAATTTGGCAGTTCCCAGGATTAACACCTAGAGGGATAGGGCATGGGTTTCTCCATTCCCGAGTTTATGTGTGATACTCAGTAAATGTGTGGTAAAGAAAGATGAGTACGTCTGTAGCTGGTTCTTCCCAATTTTGTATTATGTTTTTAAACTACTAAACAAGCCTGTGTTTAATTTCAATTTTAACCGAAAGTAAACATTCCAGATTCTTCTCTCCTCCTGTTTTGTAGCTGATACTGTTACCCTCATGCTTCCTAAGGTTATTAGCAGTTCATATTTTCCTTTACTAGCTCCAAATTTGTTCATCCCTGTGATATAATGTCTCTAACTATATGATTTGATGTACATAAAATGGAGAAAACTTTAAAAAATAAAGGCTTCTCTCAGTGGAAAAATCATCATTCTAAGTGGCAGCAGTAAATGCGATTTGTAGAGAATTTCTGTCTAAGCACTGTGCAGCGTTACACAGCATTCATTCATATCATCATAGTAACTCTGCAACAATATCTCATTTTACAGATCAGGAAACAGAGTGTCAAAGAAGTTAGACCTCTTAAGTAAAAATTACAGTTAGGATGTATTACTTACCAAAATTTGTAAACCATGCTATTAACAAAGACCATGCTACTAACTCCCTGGTCCTTACATTACAAAGTAGGCATATGAAGACATTTATTAGAAGTGAAAATGCTTCAGAGCCTCAGAGCTGTGTGTAATTATAGTAACGTGGGTAAGTAGAAAGTGCCAGTCTTTGACATTGCCCACTTTGGGAATCGTGGAAGAGAACATTGGAAAGCACAGGGGAAAACCAGGGACGAATGTATTCTTGATTTTAAAAAGGCTTCCTTCCTTTCTAGGTTTCTTATTCAATTAAAAAAACCCAAAAAACAACAAACAAACAAACAAACAAACAAACAAAAAAATGATTCTCCCTCTTCTTGCGGTACAACCCATTTAAGGCTGGATGCAAAGGCCAAACCAACAGGTGTGCTAGAACAGAAAGAACTATCTTTCTAAAGTAAGGATTCAGCCTTTGTCAGTCAAGCATTGGACTTAATGACACTGTGACGCTGCTGGTATATTTCCATTGCATGCTGTCTCTGACAGTTATGCTCAAAGGAGCCACTTTTAGAACCGAGAGCTCATGAATGAATTTCCTATTTGCATAACCAGCTCTCACAAATTTTCATGTTCTCAAGTGCGTGCACGGACTTGAGGTTGAATAGTGAAGCTGTGTACAGGTGTAGTCTCAGCGCTCATTGCAGGTTTATAGTTCTTGAAAACAACTTTTGAGGAAAGCTTTCTGTTTGATGTGGATGATGGTGAGTTATTTATGTATTATGGAGTCAATGTGATTCCTTGGCAAGGAGAAAATTCCCAGCTAATGAGCTGGCAGTTGGGCTTGGGTCAGAGCGAATTACAGTATGGCTTTCAAACCTGAGTAGTCATATTCAGAGCTTCTGCCCACACTTGCAGGGGAAAGTGTTGATTACATATTTTTTAAAGGGAGGAAGGGTGTGAGTGGGATCTGTACTTCCACTACTTCTAATCCCATGTGGCTAGGGCTTGGTTGTCCAGTTTCCTGGCCAAGAGACACCTTTTATTTTCCTTTCCCCTCAACTTTATTAAAACCACAAAGGTGGAGAGGAAAATACCTATTCATTAATGTCAGATGCTGATTCACATGGCTTATAGGCCCCAGTACAGCATTAAATAAACCCCCATGTAAAGCATGAGTCAGAGTTGGGTCTGTCAACCTTGTTTTTAGTATGTGGTTGTTTTAGACATTAAGGCAGTTTATAACATAAAAGCCTTTCTGAGTTTTATATAGTTAAAATGGAGGTGAATATTTTTTTCACTTTTTGTACCAACAGGCTTGAATCATCTCTTTAATTTTAGTATCCAAATGACAGGTTTATATTTTAATTCACCGAAATATTTCTTCACCAAATATGTCACCTTAAGGCAGATAATCTAGGTTGTTAGAGGATGTCGCTCTTACTCTTTCTTTTCATGTAGATACAGATACAAATGTATACTTGTGTATGTATCTGTGCATGTAATGTCTCTTTGTAAAGTAAAAAAATTATTGGACTGTCTGAAAAGTCATGATGTATTTTTTGCATAGAAAATCATAGAAAAAATATGCCATGACGTTTCGAACAACTAAAAAATTCCTTCAGGTACATACAATAAGAAATGGTTTACATTTTTATTTTTCCTTAGCTATAGATCATTTTTTGACTGACTTCTTGCTTGGTATCTCACTGATTGAGACATATAGCAACTACTTTCCTGAAGATAGCAGTATGAATGCAGAAACCTATAGTATTGGGGTGTACCCAATAAATTTACTCTTCTGAGCAGCAGTCTCTAGAGAACCGTACTAAGAGGAAATAAATTAATCTCTGGTGACTGATAATGGTACTGCTGGGTGCTGTGGTGTTGCTAGGCCATAATCTGATTTTTAATTAAGCAACTAGAAAGAACAATTTAAATTTCTGTACAAATTCTACATTCCGTGATTATAGTAACTAACCACTGTAAACAAACATACTGACACACGACTTTGATTACTAATCTCATTTATTTAATAAGTACTTGATCTACAAGATTCTCTATCCCACAGTTTTTGCTTTGCTTGGGGGGTGCAGCCAGGAGGATCAAACCACCCTTGTCCTCATGGAGCATTCCACTGGCACAAGGCTGCTGTGCAGTGATATGCTTTCCCCTCAGTGTTGCTGTTCACTGTTGAATTTAAAGGTCTGTTTGACCCTATGCATGTGCATATCGTGTAAGGAATAAACTGAGTGGCGTCTGAGTGATGCGGATTCCGGTGAAAGTGCACCCCAGAAAATTCTTTTTTCTAAGAACTTACTAGAAGTCCTATTGGGGAAACTGAACTACCTGGGTTCCTTTTGTTTCTTGACAGAGTCAGATCTGGAAGGCCTTGATGGTCTAGGTGCGCTTTACATCAGCAGCATCAAGCAGCAGCTGAACAAAACGACAAGGCACCGTAGACACGCGGGGGAAAACGACTATAACATCGAGGTGCTGCTGGGAGTGGATGACTCTGTGGTCCGTTTCCATGGCAAAGAGCATGTCCAAAACTACCTCCTCACTCTGATGAACATTGTGAGTAGCAACTCCTTTCTAGAAGTGTTTTGATCTTTTCGTTCACTTCTCTCATTTTGTTACTGTCTTTTGAAACCTGTAGTGGAGCTCCTAATGGAGCCCCTTGTCCAAGAGTCAACATGGAACCAGCAGATGGCTTAAAGGTTAAATTGCTGGACTCCCACGTAGTTGACTGCGGTACAAATCTGGAACCAATGGCTTAAACTCAAGCCTGGCACGTGTGCATGCATGCATGCGTGCATGCGTGACCAAAACGCCAAGAAGAGAATGGAGAAGGGATTGTGGTATGGCCTTCCCTCTTGGGGAGCGATTTCTTGCTTTTGGTCTCTTTGGCAAGCACAGGTACCCTGTAGCAAAAATCTCACTCTAGATAGATAAATAAATATTGATCTACATATTTAAGCTGCAGAAATGCAAAGATAAAGGAAAATGCAACAAACGTTTCTTTGGTTGAGTAACTAGTTTTCTGTCATCATCAAGGAAAAAAATCACAAATTCTAAAGTCATAATGAGCTGGGATTCTGACCTAAATTGTGATTTTAATTTTGCTCTGGGGATAATCAAAGCTGTCAGGACTTTGTTCAGTAGCTTTAATTTGAATCGTGACTGAGAAAATAGTTCTTTCAGCATTGCTCTGTATTCCAAGATGATGATGAATGATTTATGCTTGCTAATTCTGTTTGGATTATTATTAGAGATTCTAAACAAATGTGATTTTTTTCAACATTATAAGACCGAAGGTAATATAGCACACAATTGTTGGCACAGAGCTCTATGGGAGTTGCCAAAGGAATCTTAAAATTTGACCTTTATTTCTCTCTTATAAACCTAAATCAGATTTAGAAGAATTGTTGTCGACATCTTCAAACTGTTTTTTTTTTTAATTTCTTTTGAATTGACAGCAATTGAAGAGAATTTACAATATGTAATCCATATATTTCTAAATTGTAACTGAGCAAGTGGTAAATGCTATTTTATACATTTCATATGTACATTTCATATGTTATGGACCTAGCCCCATAGCCTAGTGGTTGAGGGAGCTGGATCCCACATGGCCAACCATGATTGAAATCCTGGAGAGTGCTCCAGGGTGTGTGTGTGCCTCAAGTCCTAAAAGGAGAGAGAAATGGAGAAGAAATGTAGCTTGGCTACATCCCATTGGGGGGTGCTTTTCCCCTTTCTCTCTCTGTTTGTCTCTCCATCTTTTTCTGGTGGTAGCACATGCCCTCTAGCAACTGTCTATATATCTGTATAATATGTGATATCTATCTATTTATCTATCTATCTCTCTATATATATTTATATAGAGAGAGATAATATAAATATGTATAAAATATATATCATACTGATCTTGCAGATTCATTACCTAAGTCTATTCTATTGTCTCTCAGCTCTTGACGTTTTTAAAATTTATTTATTTATTTCTTCCATGAGAAAGATGGGAGATAGGTAGGGACATCTCTAATAGAGAACTCCCCCTACAGTCCAGTCCTAGCCAGCCTGGGTCATGGGAATGCACATGTGTGCCTGGCATATTAAGGAAGGTTTGGGGATATAAACCCAGGACCTTTATCATATGGGTCCAGTTCCCTTACCACTGTGCCACCACTTAGCCCAGCTTTTGATTTTTTAAATTTAATTTCTTTGAGCATCTGTGTTTTTTATGTCTGTATTTTCTCCCCATTCTCAAAATTAGATTTCATACACTATGAGTAAAAACAAATTCTTAATTTCATGAATTATGGATTTTATTTATACTAACATTTAAACCTATCTGCAAAATACACTTTTGTTCTTTAAGGTGCCAATTTAGAGCCAACTAGTGGCTTGGTGGTTAAGGCAGCTGGATCCCACATGGTCTACTGTGTGGTGCAAATCCCAGACCCAGTGGCTTAAACAAAATCCAATGGCTTGTAAAACATGGGACACATATGCTTTTAGGCTCAAAATTCCAACATGGGGTCCATGTACCTGCAGGTTCAAAAGCCCTGTATGATACAGAAGAAATGGAAGAGAAGGGATTGCAGCGTAACCATTCCCCATAGGGGGTGCTTTCTCTCTCTCTCTCTCTCTCTATTGAGCATGCACACCCTCTGGAAAAATTTAAAAAGAAAATTTAAAAAGAAAAAATTCATAAAATTTTAATAACATTTATAAAATTACGTATGTGTGTATATACATGTATATGTGTGTTATATATGTGTATATATACACATATATACATGCGCATATACATATATATGTCATATCCTATCACTATGAAATGGAAAAGGAGTATGAAAGTTCAAACACATTTTTATCTGTTCATTAGCACTAATTTTTGTCATTAAGACCAGACAGAAAACATATTTCTAGTTTGGGTAACAGATGTATACATGGAATCATTGTTTGTGAATTATATAATGTTTTCAACTCTTGACTATTAACTTTTTTTTTGGACTTGATATTAGTATAACCTTGGACCTCTCTGTGCTTGCTTCAGTCTCCTTATCTGTACAAGGAGAGAAATAATAGGGATATTAAGTGTGTTAAATGAGTAAATACAGGTCATGTGCTTTGTACAGTGCTGTATATACATGCATAAGTATGTAAGCTATTTTAGCTTTTCATGTCAAGTTTTACCTCCTAAACTCGGTAAAAGTTTAAAATTCCTCTAGAGATACTGTTTTCACTTAACATCATTTTTTGTGCCTTGGGTGGGCTTTCTCCTACCACTAAGTCAATCAGTAGAGACTTACGAGGCTCTTAACTGGTACTCAGAACTATGGAAAACTCTTTGAGTAATGTGACAGAGGTTTGATATTGCCCTTGCCCTCAAAGAACCTACAAGCAGTCAAGGAGAAAAGATAAACATGTGGGAAAATTTGGAGAAACATGTTTAGCAATAAAAGGCATGCTGGAAGCCAAGGAGAAAAGATAAACATGTGGGAAAATTAGGAGAAACATGTTTAGCAATAAAAGGCATGCTATTATTAAGATTTTATAGGCACTATCGTATAAATGCTATACCACTTTAGACAAAAGAGTGGATGACGGTAGTCATCCATTCATGAATTGATAAATGTATGACATTTGGACTTAGGGTGAGGCATTCATTCTAGTGCTACCACTGGCTGGCTCTGTGACCACAGATAGCTCCTGACTTTTCCTGGGACTTAGTTTCCAAGTTTATAAAATTGAAAGGTTCAACAAGATGTTCATTGATTTTGTGATTTAGTAAGAAGCTAGGAGTTAAACTTGATCTTTTGAGATATTGTGTGTGTGTGTGTGTGTGTGTGTGTGTGTGTGTGTGTGTGTTTTGAAGGTCATGTATAAGTGAAATATTTCTAGGTTGAAACTGTTGGCAAGTAGGAAGGGGTATAATATATTCACCAGAGAGTAAGTATAGTTTGGAGAGTGTGAAAGAATAAACAAAACACTGCATTTAAAATTTTATAACAGTCTAAGGGACTTTTGATGTTAACTTTAATAAACAAATTAGATAATAAACTGAGACTCGTCTCAAATACCAAATTATTCCAAAATTAATGGGACAGAGAATAGAAATACAGGAGACAAAATAATTTTTAAAAGTTTATAATATCATTGCTTCTGAAATAATTAATGTGGGTATAAGATAGGCAATGATACTAGCCCTCCCCTTCCCTTTCCAAGATTTTAAGAAACTGAAGGATAGACATGGAAACCACAGGTGGAGAATAAAATGGTTTTATTATGGACAAGAGTTGACTTGCACATGACTTCACGTATAGCTGTGAGATTTTCATTATTTGAAACCAGGGGTTCTCAAGTAATGGTCATTTGTCCTAGCCTCTGTCCTCCTCCCCCATGCTGGAGACATTCGTTAATGTCTGGAAACATTGTTTGTCAGGTGGGTGGAGGAGAGCAGACCTCGTGTGTTAACTGCCACTCATGGGACAGGCCAGCGATGCTGCTACAACTCCTGCAGACATAGGGCAGCCCTGCACGATATAGAACTGTGAAATCTCAGCCCTAAATGTCAACAGTGCTGGGTTTAGAAACCTTATCCAAATTAGACAGGCTTACTCCCAGCCCTCATTCCCCTCCATGCACATGATGCCAGGATTCCCCTTCTAGGTCAAGCAGATCTGACCTGAGCTTTAGGCACAGCAGACAGAAGACTGAGTCCCTTCCTCTCCTTTCCCGACCCCAGCCACCCTACTGTACACCAGCAGATTTAAACCACAGATCTGAGATGCTCTTTACCCTCCTTCAAATATCACTGACCAGGTAAGATGAGAGGAAGGAAGAGACAGGAGCAGTAAAACTGCCCCATGGAAATTCAAGGCTAGGAAAATTGGGTTTTCCGTAAAGTGTTCAAGTGCCTACAGACACAGAGGCTTTCTTGCAATATCAGATGGGTTCAGAAAGAAGCTGTAGAAGAAAACTCACAGCAAAAAGTTGTTCTTCTAGTGATTTGGGGGGGAGGGGAGACAGAGAAAAGAGCAGGGGTTTCCTATAAAAATCATTTGGCAACTTTGCCTTAAACACAAATATGTTTAATCTTTTTCAGAGCCATATTTTCTAATCATAGTGATGACTGTGCACACAAATGTATGCAGTAAAGTTCTATAGGTAACTGGCATGCAAATTTGGGGGTTTGAACCCAGAAAAAGCTTCACTAAATCTAAGTTAGCACATTTATATGGGGGCTTGGGGGTCAAGAGACTAGGTTGATCAGGCCCCTGATTATTTTGATGTGACTTCCTAAAAAGGGAGGGATACCTTCTGCCCGTCTCCCACTCCTTTGTGGACTAAGGAGACTAGCCAGTTGCCTTCTATCTCCTTTCATTTTCAACTCTTTCTATCTTATAGATCTTAAAGTTTCTCTAAGTATCAATTTTAAAGAAGAAATAAATGGATATGTGGATATAAGTATATTCTTCTTTTTTGGGGGGAAAGTTTTTTGCTATAGGGCACATGTGCTCACCAGAAAGACAGAGACAGAGAGACAGAAAGTGAGAAATCACCCCCCCCCA